CACCCCCGGAGATCAGTTTCTAGGACAGAGAGTTGAGTGAACAGGGTTGACAGTGGATCTGGAGGGACAAACACATCTTACTGTTCTTCGAATTATAGAAAGGGAGAAACCCAGGCACACAGCGGTGAAGTCAAAATGTTCCCAGGCTGCACAGCTAGGTACGGGAGCCAGGACCGGAGCTGGGGCAGTGGGCCCGCAGAGCCTCTGGTCTTCTCACCGTGGTCCTCCTATGGGCAAGACGGGAAGGGAGAACACCGGGACAGGAGACGGTGGAAGCGAAGTTGGGGGGGCACGGAGACGTGTCTCATCAGAGGCAGGGGACCCTTCAGATTCTCCCTGGCTGTGACGCCGTAGGTGCCTTCTATTCTGAGAAATTGCCGGGCCCAAGTGGGGCTGGGCGAATCGTGGTCCTCAACACCAACCTGTACTACAGCAACAATGAGCAGACGGCTGGCATGGCAGACCCTGCGCAGCAGTTCCGGTGGCTGGAAGACGTGCTGACCCGTGCATCCCAAGCTAAGGAGATGGTAAGGACTCCCACCTCCACCTGCTACCCTCTCTGGGGTCACCTCCTGAGCCAGTGTCCCACCTCTGCACAAGCTCAGCCACTCCCTTGAGGGGCCTCTATCCCTGAGGGTCCTTCAGCAGCCTGGCACCAGGAGGGGGCTTCTTTTTCCAGCCTCACGACAGACTGGGAAAAAGAGAGGGGTCTTCTGGGGGGCGCCCTTAGCACTCTCGAAGGCACAGAGGTGGGAAACATCTGGTAAAATCATGGCTGGCTCTGCCTTTGGCTCAGGTCATGATCTCAGGGTCGTGGGATCGAGCTCCACATCAAGCTTTCTGCTCAGTGGGGAGCCTTCTTCCTGCACCTCCTCTGTCTGCCTCTCTGCGTGCTTGTAATCTCTGTCAAATAAATAAATAAAATCTTTTAAAAAAGAAATGGCTGGGTCTTCAGAGCACTGGCATCAGCCAGGGGGTGGGCTTGACAGGGGATCTTGGAGCCTGTCCTGGGCACCCCATCCATGCAGGTGTACATAATTGGCCACGTGCCCCCGGGCTTCTTCGAGAAGACGCAGAACAAAGCGTGGTTCCGGGAGGGCTTCAACGAGGAGTACCTGAAGGTGGTCCGGAAGCACCATCGAGTCATCGCAGGGCAGTTCTTTGGCCATCACCACACCGACAGCTTCCGGATGTTCTACGATGACGCAGGTACTCGCCGCGGAGGACAGCGGCCAGCCCATACCCACCTCCTCCTCTTGCCGGCCTCTCTCTCAGTCCTGCGGTCTCTCTCCTGAAAGGTGCCCCCATCAGTGTCCTGTTCCTTACCCCTGGAGTCACCCCGTGGAAAACCACCTTACCTGGAGTGGTCAATGGGGCCAACAATCCTGGCATCCGGGTATTTGAATACGACCGAGCCACACTGAGCCTGCAGGTCAGGAGCCCTGGGTCTGCTGGGGCTGGAGGGGGAGGATGGGGAGGGACCTGAATGTATCACCGCCTTGCCTGATCCTTCCAGCTTAATCTCCCTCTTCTAGAGCTCTGGTTCCCTCGAGCCACTCTGGATCCTGCAACAAACTCAGATAATTCTTTGTCCCCAATTCTCCGTTCAGCCTAGATCATAGCTTCCTACCCGGCCTCTCTACCTCTAGCTCCGTGCCCTGCTATAGCTCATCTACTACACATTACAGAAGGCTCTAAGACCTTCCATGGCTCCCCAGTGCCCACAAGATAAGCTGGATCTCTTTGGCCTGGTGTTCAAGGCCTCCCGCAGCATGACCTTATGCCCATTGCCCGCCTTATGCCTACACCGACAAGGCCTCAGCCAAAGCAGACCTCTGACTCACCGAGCAACCCCTCATCTCCTGGGCTGGGCTTGTTGTTATTGACATGGCAAAGAAACAGTATTCCTTAATTTATTTAACAAAAGGTACTAAGTAAGCACCTACCATGAGCGGGGCCCTGTGCTGAGCTCAGGAGATACGTAAGTGAACAGTGACAAAGTCACTGCTGTCCTGGAGCTGGCATTCTCACAGGAGACACACACGGTAGTATCCTATCCTATAGTAGACAGTATGAAAAGGAACGTTTAGTGTGATGTGCAGAGAAGCACTAAGGACAAAGAGTGAGGGGGCAGGTGTCACCATTATTGGGTGTGTGTGCACATGCATGTGCGTGCCGTGAGGCAGGTGGGATGGAATTTCACCCATAGGGTGACATGTGAGTTCTGAGTAGATGGAGGGAGGGAGCCATGCAGGCATACTGGGAAGGCAGAGGACAGAGCAAGTCAGAGGCCCTGGGTTGGACTGTGCTTTTGGTGAGTGTCAGGGAGGAGCGTGGAGGTCCTGGCTGCAGAGGAAGGCACAGGCGGAGGGTGGGAGGGATGAGGTCAGATCCTGTCAGCTGGATGTGGAGGGTTTGGGGCAGGATGAAATATTCTGACTTACACAATTTTACAAAATCCCCCTTATCGCCGGCTAGCCGGCTCTGCAGAGAACAGGCTCTAGGGGGCAAGGGCAGAAACGGGGGTGGGGGTTAGGGGAAGGGTGAGGTAGGAGGTGACAATTAGTACTGAGAGGTGATGCTGGCACAGGCCAGGGGGTGGCGGTGGGACAGTGAGAAGCCCCAGATCCTGGATGTCTGCTGAAGGTAGAGGAGACAGGGTTTTTGGGGACCGGATGAGGGCGAGAGAGAGAGGAACTAGGGCTTTGGCCTCAGCGCCTGGAGAGGTGAAGCTGCCCTTTACTGAACTGGGATCACCGTGGGAGGAACACGTTTCAGAGGAAGATCAGAAGTCCGGTTTGGGACCTGTTCACTTGGGGAGGTCTAAGTGGTGTCCCAGTGAAAATGCCCAGCGACGAGGCAGCCGGGTATTCAAGTTGGAGGCCCAGGAAGAGGTGGATATAGAGATTTTTAATTGGGTGCTTGAGAGAGGACATTTAAAGCCAGGGACTGGACCAGATAACCGAGGTCCTTGACTCTAGAGTAAGTGTGCACGGAGGAGACATCTGAGGTCTTTCAAGAGTGTGGCCTGTTGTCCATATGGGCACTCAGAGGGCCTTAGCAGAGGAGTCACCGGCTGGTTCCCATGCCCCCCCCCACCCCCAAAATGCCTTCTCAGGGAGGGAGTCACACAGGCCTGGGTTTGAATCCTGGCTCCACCACTCATGAGATTTTTGACCTCTTCCCGCCTCCGCTCATCTGTAAAATGGGAGTATCAGTCCCTCACAGGGTTTGGAGAGGACCAAATGGAATAACATAATGTGCCTCTGGGGAGGCTGCCCTCCAGACATGGCAGTTCCTCTTACCCCACTTCTAGTGACAAATTTAAGTGGAAAGCATCAGACAGATAAGCCTTTCCAGATTCTAGTTCCGAAGATGCATCTGATCCTAGGAGTCCTGGGTGTATCCCAAACCGTCGTCAACCACAATTCCATAACCTCTTTCAGCCAGGCACTCCATGCCATTTCTTTAAGTTGCTTTTTATCCATGAATTCTGTAAATATTTACTGAGCCCTCTTCTGTCACTGAACACCTGTAGGACCCTGGACAAAGGAATTAACCTCTTTAGGACTCAGTGTCCTCATCTGTGAAATCGGGGTAATACGGGCAGTTACCCCATTAGCATACCAGGCATAACCCCATAAGTAGGAAATGCTCGCTAACAGAGTCACTGTTAGAGCTATAAAGAATCTGGGGCGGGGTGGGGGGGCGGAATGCAAGGTGTAGGATTGGAGGTTGGGTGGAAACTGCCAGCTGCTCAGGGCCGGCCCTCCTCACGCCCTCTCTCCAGGACGTGGTGACCTACTTCGTGAACCTGAGCCAGGCGAACGCGCAGGGGACTCCACTCTGGGAGCTTGAGTACCGGCTGACCAAGGCCTACAGGGTGCCCGACGCAGGCGCCCGCTCCATGCACGCGGCGCTGGGCCGCATCGCCGGCGATCCCGGGGCGCTGCAGCGCTACTACGTCTACAACTCGGTCGGCTACGACCGCGAGGCCTGCGATCAGGCCTGCCGCGCCGAGCACGTGTGCGCGTTGCGCGAAGTGGCCTTTGACGCTTACGCCGCCTGCCTGCGCGCCCCCGGCGCAGCGTCCGCGCCCGCGCCCGCGCTCCTGCTGGCGGCGCTGCTGGGCCTGCGCGCGCTGCTCGCGCCCTGACCTCGGGCGCCCGCCGGCCGCTTGCCCGCGGAGACTTGCCGCCACCCGGGCCCGGCGTCTACAGCGGGAACCCGCGTGGAGCAGCAGCCTGGGCAGTAAATGAAGCGCCGAAGACCTTCCCCGTCCCCAGCACATTATTTTCCCCCAAATTTCCTCCAAAACACAGTGCTCCTCGAGCATCTCATTCTGTGCGTTTTCCCTTTTCATAATGTTTCCTGCGACTCCCGTAGAGTGATTGAACAGTTACTGAACAGAGTAAGATGAGCCACAGGGAAGATACGCCTGAGGGATCCCGTGTCCTCGTCCGTCCCCCCACCCCCCTCGCCCTCGCCGGCACGCGAGGCACACTCGGTTTGCGAAGTCCCGCAATCTGGGTGCAGAACGGGTCTGTTCTGCAACAACGCGGACGCGAGGGATCGCGGTCCAACCCCGGACGCTACGGCCTGAGCCACTGCCGTCGTCTCGGGCCTTCTCTTGCCTCAACTGCAATTAGACGGCGGCCGCGCTACGGAAGGGCGGTGTGGCGGCGCCCGGCCGTCTGCGGGCCTAGCGGTCCTCGGGGCTCACTGGGGCTGCACGCGGGTGCCCTGCGCAGGTTGCTGGGCCGCAGCCGGGGGCGGCCTTCCGGGACGCAGACGGACAGAGGCGTGTGGGGACCGCGGGCGTCGTGAGCCGCGGGGTCCGCGGGCCTTGCTCCTCCCCGGACGGGGCGGGACGGGGAAGTCCCGCCCAGGAGGCTCGGGCCCCGGGCCGCCCCTAGGCCTGCGCCCGCCTCCTTCCTGCCGTGGCGACCCCAGGCGGGGAAGGCGGGTCCGAGCCTAGAGGAGAAGGTACGCGAGAGGCTGGCGGGTCATGCCTTGGTTACCCCGCGCCGCGCTCCTCTGGGACGTGGTCCTGGGCTTTTTGGGCACCGCCGCCTTCCTGATCGACCTGGGCGCCGACCTGTGGGCCGCGGGCCAGTATGTGCTCAGCGGCCGCTACCTGTGGGCCGCGCTGGTGCTGGCGCTGCTGGGCCTCGCCTCGGTCGCGCTGCAGCTCTTCAGCTGGGTTTGGCTGCGCGCCGACCCCGCCGGCTTGCACGAGCCTCAGCCCCCGGGCCGCTGCCTGGCGCTGCTGCACCTTGTGCAGCTGGGCTACCTGTACAGGTGAGCACCACGCCCTCGGAAGGGGGAGGGGGGCGGAGCCCGCGGCCCCTGCAGCCGCGCCACTAGCCCTGGGAGGAGCCCTGACACCCGGGAGGGGTGGGAAGGAGAAGCTCGGGACCCAGGAGAGGAAGCTAAGACCTTGTGGGAACTTCTGCTTACAGGTGAGCTCCCCGCCTCTAAAGAAAGAGGGGCCGGCTGACGGCCCACAGAACCCAGCTACCCTACCCCCGTGGCACTAGGGAAGAGACTGAAGCCCAGAGAAGAAAAGGAGGCACATGATTTGGAGTCAGACCTGTCTCGGCTCCAGTCCTAGCTAATTTACTATCTGTGGCCTCATCCCTGCCTCAGTTTCCTCCTCTGTGAAATGGCGACAGGAGTGTAGACACAGGTCTGGCCAGCTGGCCTGTTGTGGGGAGCAAAGGCAAGAGCCCAGTGTGCTTCGCTTGGTGCTCTGGGCTCTTGGTGGACTCTAGTGTAACAGCCGACCCCTGACCTGTTCCATACAAAAAATGTTCCTTTTTGTTGTGGGTGGGGCCTTCCTTGGGCAAGTCCCTTGAGCCCTCCGGGTCTCAGTTTACTCATTCTTCCAGTGGGGTTGGTTGTAGCACCTGCTTCTGTTTGGTAGGGATTAAAAGAAATAAGGGATTGAATTGCTTCGGCGCAGAGTAAGCCTTCAACAAATGTCAGCTGGCTTGATTACCCGGGTCACCCGGGAGCATTGGCAGCCCTGACCCTCAGAACAGAGCTAGTCCTCTCAAGCCCTCTTTCCCAGTTTCCTTCTCCCCGCCCCACCCTCTGGTCCCCAGAGCAAGCAAGAGTGCAGCGATGGGGTCTGACTCAGCCATGTCCCCTGAGCCAGCCAGGGCTGGGCATAGGCTGGGTTCCAGAAAGTCTGTGTGGGTGGTACTCCTCAGAACCGCAAGGCCCGCTGGAGATGAAGAAGCTGAAACCAAGGGATGAGAGTCTTGCGGTGGAGTCAGGACACTCTGTGCTCTGGGTTGAGATAGGGCGGCTGGAGCCAGCATCTGCTCTTGAATCCATTCTGCAGATTCTCTCCAGATCTTGCTTTGACAAAGCTGCATTGAGTCTCCAGGAGGGGACAAGAGGAGCTTTGAGTATTGCGGTTTTGCCTGAGGGACTGCAAGGTCCTCCTTAAAATGCTGGTGGGCAGAAGGAGAGCAATTGTCAGAGTCCCAGAGGCCTTGAGGAGCCCTGAATCTGTAACTGTGTCATGCCTCCTCTCTCATCCCATTTCTTTCTTTCTTTCTTTTTTTTTTAAAGATTTTTTTTTTAAAGATTTTATTTATTTATTTGACAGACAGAGATCACAAGTAGGCAGAGAGAGAGGGGGAAGCAGGCTCCCCGCTCAGCAGAGAGCCCGATGTGGGGCTCGATCCCAGGACCCCAGGATCATGACCCGAGCCGAAGGCAGAGGCTTTAACCCACTGAGCCACCCAGGCGCCCCTTTTTTAAAGATTTTATTTATTTATTTGACAGAGATCACAAGTAGGCAGAGAGGCAGGCAGAAAGAGAGGGGGAAGCAGGCTCCCCGCTGAGCAGAGAGTCCGATGCGGGGCTCGATCCCAGCCAGGACCCTGGGATCACAACCAGAGCCAAAGGCAGAAGCTTAACCCCCTGAGCCACCCGGGCGCCCCTCTTGTCCCATTTCTGCTGAGCAGGAGGCAGACAGCCTTTACTGAACTTTGGTTTTGAAAATGGGGTGTCTGTTCCTGCCTTTGACTGGACTGAGGCAGGGGCCTTAGGGGACCCGGGCAGAGGCTCCTGCTGAGGGAGAGCCCCAACCTGGGCCCGCCACCCCTGCTCCTTAATGTGCTGTCAAGTCCATCCAGGGGAAGTGACAGTAAATAGCTGGTGAATGACTTGGCTCTAGGGAGTGGGCTCACCTCCCAGTGACCAACTGAGATCAGTTCCGGGTGGGGGAGATCGTGGTGCACGTTCCACTACTCCCCACATGTCAACAGGTCACCCAGGCCTGACTGTCTAACCTCTGGACTCCCCTAACTCTGTGTCTGTCTCCATGTCCATCACTCTGGACAGTCCTCTTAAATGAACCTGTCCTTCCCATCTAACCCCTCCTCCCCTTCCACTCCTTCATAGCCAGAGAGATCTTTCTACAGCACAATCTGACTGACCTATGTTGCCTGTGCTCAGGAACTCTCGGTGGCTCCCCTTCCCCCGCAGGGTCCTAAGAAAATCTTAGGCTTTCTAAAAAAAATTGAGAACTGTCACCTGGGGCAATTTCATCGCAAGACTTTGAAATTCACACAGTTTTGGGTCCAAATCCTGTTTCTACCATTCCTTAGCTCTTCGGTTTTGTGTCCCCATCTGTCAAGTGGGGATGTTGTAAGGGGGAAATGGGACAGGGTTTGGGATGACCCGGGGACATCCTGGCCAGTCCGAGCGGTGGCAGTTGGTACCCATCCCCATTCTACGATGAAAGAGTTGGGTGAGGTTAAGTCATTCGTGCCCAAGGCCCCACAGCATGTGAATGACGAGCTAGGATTAGAGCCCGCCTCCATCTACACAGTGGGAGAGGGGAGGCCGAACGCAGCACACACTAACCTGGCCCCTGGGGGCCTCTGGACCCGCCCTGCCTAGGTGCGTGCAGGGGCTGCAGCAGGGGCTCCTGGTGTGGCAGCAGGAGGAGCCCTCTGAGTTTGACCTGGCTTATGCTGACTTCCTGACCATGGACATCAGCATGCTGCGGCTCTTCGAGACCTTCTTGGAGACGACACCACAGCTCACGCTGGTGCTGGCCATCGTGTTGCAGAGCGGCCGGGCCGAGCCCTACCAGTGTGAGTGATGGGCCGGGGGCTGGTCCCCCCCTTTACGGTGTGGGGGAGCTGCTGATGAATGTCAGGAGGGTTTTCACTCTTTTCTAAAGGCTTTTTGGAAAATAGGAGGATATCCCTTAGGTAGATGTGCGTTCAATCTGGAAGCTACTCCTTAGCCTTCCGAGTGAGGACCAGTGACTAGTGCGGCGGCCGGGGGGGTTGAGTGGCTGCCGTAGGGCTGGTGCCGTGCAGAGCACTTTGCCGACCACACTGCTCCCACGCACAGCGGCCCTAGGGGCTGGCACTGGCTCCATCCACTGGACACGAGAGGAACGAGGTGCAGAGGTGAAGGCATCTGGACCGGTGCACACGGCACTCCGGGGCACACACTTCTGTTTGTTTGAGGGCTGTGGGTATCTAGGATCGGGGCCACTATGGGGACAGTCTCCATTGTCTGCAGGGGAGGCAGGGAGCGAGGGAAGAGACAGATTTTCCTGACTTTCTACTTCGTGAACATTTCCATCAGTGGCTCTTATGTGCCAGGTACGGGGCTGCTGGGGACCCCAAGGGAGCAGAGTGTCTTATACCCTGCAGGAGCTCAGAGACAAGGCAACAGAGAATGACTGTGTGCTAAGACTCCAGAGGGCAGTGGGTGAGGTGTACTGGGTCACCTGCGGGGTGGGGTGGGGTCAGGATGGGTGACTCTAGCTCCCGGGGCTCGTGCTCCTGGCCTACCCAGTATTGTGGGCTGAGCTTGTCCAGGTCAGCGAATGCAGCACGCTGGGCAAACTGGGAGGATAGCAGCCCTGCCGAGACCTCCTGTGCGGTAGAGGGGCCATTGCCCCAGATCTGCTTGCAGGGTCGGGGTGGCCTCCTGGTCCACAACAGATGCCCAGTAAACATCTGTTGATGGACTGGGAAAGGGCCAGGGAGTGAGCCTTCTAGAGGCCCTTCTGGTGCTGCTTGCACCCCTCCCTGGAGGTCCTGGTGCTCCTAGTCCAGGGTGGGCAACCGAGAGGTGGGAGAGGATCCCCACCCAAAACTGCTAGTGTTGAAGAATCAAGGTGAAGGCCCAGTGTGAGCCGGGACGTCCTATGTGTGTGGCAGGGCAGGCTCTCCTGGCCTGGAGGGCGGCTTCGGCCACAGCCCGGTTGCCACCTGTGGAAGTTCCTGCTTCCGTTTTCAAGACTGCAGACAGGGAACCGGCGTGACTGATTTTCAGTGCCCAGAAAGGCTTGAGGTCTTCTGGGAAAGGAAGGGTTACAGGGCCGGAGCAGACGCTCAGGGTGTGGCCAGGGCCCCGGGGCCTCAGATGCTGGGTGATGGGGGTGCAGATGAGGGTGCAAGTCTCACAGCCCTCCCCCCACCAATCCTGGAAGAGTCTCGCTCTGGCAGCACCTGAAAAGTTAAGCCTTGCGGCAAAGGGCAGACTCCGTGCTCGGACCCTCTGTCCATTTTTGGTTGTTTGAAGGGATGTTCTCTAGCTGTAGCTTCCCTTCAGCCATCAGGAGCTCTCACACCTGCCTGGGGTGGCCGCGGGGCCTGGTGGAATGCGTGGCCTCTAGGGGGTGCCACGCAGGCTCACCCCTTCCCGCTTCCTCTCCACAGGGGTCAGCATCGGCACGTCCTTCGTGGGCATCTCGTGGGCACTGCTCGACTACCACCGGGCCTTGCGCACCTGCCTCCCCTCCAAGTCGCCCCTGGGGCTGGGCTCCTCTGTGGTCTACTTCCTGTGGAACCTGCTGCTGCTGTGGCCCCGGGTCCTGGCCGTGGCCCTTTTCTCCGCTCTCTTCCCCCACTCCGTGGCCCTGCACTTCCTGGGCCTGTGGCTGGTGCTGCTCCTGTGGGTCTGGCTGCAGGGCACGGACTTCATGCCAGATGCCCGTTCCGAGTGGCTGTACCGGGCCACCGTGGCCACCATTCTCTATTTCTCCTGGTTCAACGTGGCCGAGGGCCATACCCGGGGCCGCGCCACCATCCACCTGGTGTTCCTCCTGAGCGACAGCATCCTCGTGGCAGTCACCTGGTCGACTCACACCAGCTGGCTGCCCAGCGGGATCCCACTGCACGTGCTGCTGCCCGCGAGCGGCCTCTGCTTCCTTCTGGGCCTGGCTCTGCGGCTGGCCTACTACCACTGGCTGCACCCAAGCTGCCGCTGGGAGCCTGACCGGGTGGATGGGACCCGGGGCTTCCGCTCCCTTGAGGGCCTTCAGCTGCCTCACAACAGCCGCATGACCCGGTTGGCGCAGAACTTCTTCCCTAGGGTTAGGGAGGAGGAGGCTGTTTTGCCACAGAAAGAAGAGGTGAATGGGGTCCTTTGAGGCGAGGCCAGACCCAGCAGGCCCAGAACGGATGGACTCAACTGGTAGAATCCAGAGGATAAGCTAATGATGCTGCTATTGGCCTTGATTCCCTCCAGAAGCACCCGATGCCCGATGTGACAGGCCCTGGAGACCCGAGTTGAGTAAAGACTCAGGCCTGCCTTTGAGGATGAGAACAAGATGCGAACGGCTGGGCCCTGGAGAGTCAGGGGCTCCAGTTACATACAGGACACTTTGGAAGGAAAGAAGAGACCCCGCCCCTTCCCCATCCCATCCCCACCAACTGAAAGAGTTGGTACCCCAGAGCTCCTAGAGATGGTATTTTCGCCTCCCCAGCCATCTCCAAAATCATTGGTGGAGGTGCTGTCCCACGGCTTGGTTCCCTGATCCTGGGCTAGAAGGCCCAGGATCTCCAGGTTGTGTTCAGAATTCTTCCTCTCTGCCTTACCTGTCATTCTGGTCATCCAACAGATGTTTACTGAGAGCCTTGTCTGTGGCAGGAATATTCTGTCCTTGGAGTCTGGAACAAGACTTCCCTCTCTAGCTACTCCTGAGTGGGTGGTCATGCTGGAAGCCAGGGACGTCCAGCTAGTGGCCCTGTCCGCCTCCCCAAGGCCTCAGTGCACCCAGCCCAGCCTCTGGCCCTGCTCTTAAGTGGCTATCTTTCAGCCAAGTGCTTGTGATCCTGTGGTCTGGGCCATGGCTCAGCCCGTTGAGTATTTTTCTACTTTAGGCAGTACACTTTCTACCTCAGAGTCTATGTGAGAGGAAGAGAACGTGCGTCCACATGTGTCTCTGCAAGTGAAGGACATGTATGTGTTGTTTTTGTTTAACAATATTATTAGATTATTATTAAAACCTCATGAAACCCTCCCAACTAGTTGTGTCATTAAATCTACAGAGTTCAAAGACACCTGGAAAGAAAGGTCAGGGACATGAAGTCCACCCTTGAAATTGCTAAGGGTCCTGGGACCAGAGAAGAGGGAAGGTTCTCAGCCTTGTTTTCCAACTTTTGGGATCTGGTGAGCCGTTGTGGGGTTGATTATCGTCAGGTGGGCATCAGAACCCAGATCTGGAGCCACTCTGGTGTGTGCTGTTAACCAGCTTTGCTGCTGGGCCTGGCAGGAGGAGCCACAAACACCTCTGGAACCAGGAAGTGAACCCTAGAGCCCTGGGGAAGAATGGTACAAGTGCTGGGAGTGCAGTGTAGGGGTGTGGATGTGGGCCGCAGGACCAGAGCAACTTCTGTTGCCCTGGAAGATATGTGGTTTGGGGAAACCAGGGAACAGGAAAACGGCACTGGAGACAGAAGAAAAAGGTGCAGTCATCCGTGTGAGGGGAACCAGGATAGTTCTCTTCTGTTATTCATTTTAGGGGAGACCAAACAGAGTAAGTAAAACTGTCTGAGCTAGTGTAAAAGATAAAGTAGGGAAGGGCACAGGGAGAGGGTGAATGCGTGTTGTGGGTGGGAGTTCCAGTTCTGTGCAGCATGGCCTGGGAAGGCCTCCCTGAGAACCTGATTCAGCCCTAAAGGGGGGAGGGTGAGATCAGCAGGGCCTGGCGGGAGGCTTTGGCAGCTGTGCTGGCCTGGGGCCAACGATGATAGAGGTGGGCGGGTCGGGGGTGGAAGCCCTGGGGAGATGATGCTGGTGATTTTTGATGTAGAAGGATAAGGGCCGGATGGATCTCCAGGATCATCCCATCCAGTGATTTCCAGACTTGAATTTCATGGACCAGTAAAACGGCCAACATGGCTGTTGACTTAATTTTAACAAAAAAAGGCAGTAAAAACTACCATTTATTATTATCTTCATCATCTCTTAATAAGATATAATGGCCTTAGAAAAAGGATCATTTTTTTTCACCAACTGGGTTTTTTTTTAATTGAGGTATAATTGACATACAGTATTATAAAAGGATGGTTCTTCTAATTGAATACATTTAAACACCCATAAACATATCCATAAGTGAAATCATTATAGTTTCTCTCAAGTCACTGAGAATATCAAGGGTTGAGAACCCAGAGGGTAGGCTTAGTGCCCGACCTAGCTTTGGACATAGGCCCTAAGGGTTTCCAAGCTTCCTGTCATATGAAGAGATTAGGTTCAGGGGAGATGCTATATATGCCCAAACAGAAGACACAGTGTTTTAGGCAATTCCCTACTTTCCTGAGAAAAATCCTCAAGATGTGTATTCTTAATGTTTTGGCTAAACTCTCATCTGTAATCGCTAAATGAAATTGTCAAATGATGGTAATGCGTAATTAAATTGAAATAACATACAAGGTCTACCACCTAAAATCTGTGGAACGAAGCAGTCACTTTACTTGTATATACAGTTCATAGAATTAAGAGTTTTAAAAAGATGGCAGTGACATGACTTGCAATTAGAAATTTCCTTCAAGATCCCATCAAGAATTTCTTTTTAAAGGTCAAGAAACTTGTTTTTGAAGAATAAAACCACCCTGAATTACTAATTTTTACTTGCCAACCAAAGGTTTTTGAGAAATGCGCAGATGTTACACTTACTATAAGGGAGAAGGGAAATTTACTCCAAGGCTTGAAAAGCAAGTAATACTCCAGTATTTGTACTTACAACCAAGTTAAAGATGTAACAAGTCTGCTTCAGCTATGATGTGGTTCGAAATACGTACCTTCTGATTAAAAAATTTAATGCCTAGAATACAAGGCAACCCCCTTTTCTAAGAGGGAATTAATTTGGAAAAAAAAAATACATCCTAACAGTCTGACACATGTGGCACTTGGAAGCCAGCCCGAATTCTGGCCTCCTTCATTGCAATAAAAGGCAAAGGGATTCTTAACTTTTTGCCAGACCAGTGAGGGACAGTCAGACCCAAATCTGAAGAAACAAAATGAGCAAAAGTAGTTGATGTGACAGGAAATGAGGCCAAATCAAGCGAGGTTTAATATCAGATTGTCAGTTTTATTGCTTTTGCATGTTAAGCTCATCACAGCAATGTATTGATTTCTCTTTAATAATTAAATTTCAGCACAATTTGACAGCAAATGAAACCTCTTATCATTCCAGTCCTAAACTTTAAAAAGTAGATTTTAGAAACAATTAAGAAATAAACTTTCCCCTTGCAAGTCATTTTAAAATATTATTTTATTTCCCCATGTACATTTGTTTAAACCAAATGGTTAGTCTTTATTTTCGATGAAATTAATGACTGGGTTATTGAAGGGTACCAGCTTTCAAATGAGCTCTTCGGACTTTTTTTATGAAGCCCTACTCAGAAGCCTACTTAGCTGGGCAACTGGGCTGATACTACTCAGAAAAGACACAGGAGCAAACTGTATAGAAAATAAAAACTTTATTTTTTCAAGTTTATAAGATAGTTCCCATTACATATAACATTATGGTCAAGGACTCTACACAGCCACGAATGCCCGCAGTCACATAAATATATCCGATCCACTCAATGCCTTTTCCTGCTAAATGAGGCATCTGAAGTCCAGAGGGTTATGTTTTGAGTAGAAGCTGTCCTTAATGAGATGGCTCCCGTTCAGTGCATTAGGGACTAGCCACGGAGCCTTGCTTGCTGGAGCGGCCTAAATCGGAGAGGAAGGGACAGAGGGCCTGCAAGTTGGGGATGGGTCAGAACTAGATTTTTCTCTCATAGTTTAAGATATTTTAGAATCCCAGAATTCAGGTTTGGCTTCTTTATAAGTGAGAATATCTGGGGAGTTCCAAGTTTTGGATGAAAAAGGAAGCCAATGAAAAAGGTGGTAAGAAGTAGAAGCCTGCTTAAGAAGGCCCCTAACTGTCCCCCTTCTACAGGAGTGAGGAGAGTAAGGCCCCCGGCTCTCCACCCTTGGCTTAGACCGCCCTTCTGCCAGGAAGAGAAAGAACGTGGCCCCGCCCCTCCCCGCCTCTGCCCCGTGGTTCAGTGGCACCGACACCCATTCAACGTAGCGAATGTCTAGATGTTCCACGTGCTGCAGCCAGAGTTTGCCAATCAGATTCTACCTGGAGCTTGAAAAGTGAGTTTGTATAAACTGTGGACAAGCCGCGGCACAAGTCTCCTGGGACACTAGCTTTGCCCCTCAACTTGCAGAGCAGGAGACAGGAACATCCCAAACCGAATAAAAGCCCAAACAGGCATCGAAGTCTGGAACAGGCATCTATTCTCCCGGACACCACCAGCCGCCCCAGGGGCATTGGACAGGGTGATGCTAAGGCACAGTCAGTTTTACATTCGAAAGTCAAGCCACCTCTTAAACCCAGGACACATCTGACAACTCCAGATCCCGCACTGGAGACAGTCCTCACCATGAGACGTGCAGACCCATCTGGCAGAACCCACAGTGCCTGGCTGGGGGAAAGACTCAGCATGTGGGTGACTTCATGGGGACACTTTCTAGTAAAGAGGGCTTCCCCTTGAAGAAATGACCCATGGTATCCTTTTGCCCTCAACTTCCAAGAGTGCTACCCACTTGCTTTCCTTTCCAGATCTTTGTGCTGGGGAGGAAGAAAACACAGGGTAAAAGAATGCTGTGTTCCCTGCACAACTCATTTTGGCAAAGAGGAATCAAGAAGCTCTCATTTTCCGTAATAGGGGCAGCAACAACCAGAAGAAAGCAGAGGTGCTCTGCTCCGTAGAGCTTCCTCACTTCTCTTAGCCAATTCCAAGTTCCTTTTGCAAAGACCCAGGCTAGGCAGTCAGGGGGCGGTGGGGGAAACACCATCGAAAGAGGAGTCTAGCTCCTAGGGATAGAGAGCTTCTCCCAAAAGGCAGGGAGAGGGAAGTGTTTGTGTGTGGCCCTGTGTGCATGACAGGGGGACCACTACACAGCCTCACAAGCCTGACATGCAGCACCAACCAGGTGGCCTCTGTCCAGCTCAGGGAACCCACAGTTATACTGCTAGTAGGGGGAGAGCTTGGGGCCTGGAAGAAAGGCCCATTATGGAGCTTTCTAAGATCGATTACCAAGCAAGGCAGAGCAGCATGTGGACAACTATGCTCTACACAGACCATGGAAGGTTGGCCTCCGACTACACGCCTCATCTCTTCCCCACCTGTCAAGAGACGAGGTTGGAGAGACAGCTAAGTAATGAGCACTGACTCCAGCTCCTTCCCCAAACCTGTGAGGAATGGAGCACTTTCTCAATCCGTTCTGAAGGAATGTGTCTATTAGTCTTTCTCTGCTGCCATTTGGTGGCCTGGCATCAGGAAGAGCCTGGCCCCTCGGTGCCGCATCTCCAGAAATGGATACACAGAATCTCTGGGGGTAAGCGATTACAGCTGGGGGTATTCAAGGGACGCCTCCTCCTGAGGACCCAGACTGCACGCCTGAGGGGCTGACATGTTCACCTCTGCAGGCAGCCCGGGAGAGGCTCAACTTCCTGAGCGCTAGGAAGCGTATCCTGCCCGAGCAGGGGCCCACATTCGTCTTGGAGGGATGGAGCATCCGCAAACACACCTGGGCTCTAAGGCTGGGATTGGCTGCCGGGCACCCACCAATCTTCCTAGAGGTCAGGGTGACAGATGTTTCTGCATATAGCCCCGGGTTAAATTTTCAGGCATGGAGTAGGGTCCCAGCACCCTCATTTAAATCAGGAAAGTCTTTCTGGCCTTCTGGTTTCCCATTTTAGAATGGGATTTGAGAAGCAGAAAGGGTGTTCCATGGGAAAAGTGGGTTTTGATCACAGCAATCTGTTCCTCGGTTTCAGGCAAGAGATTTGGGTAAATACATGCCCAAAATACCTTTCTTGGCTTAAGGGCTTCAAAGGAAGTCAAATGTAGTTACGAGTCTGTTCTTAGGCTTGATTTAACTTCTTGGGTCCAAAGCTGAGGGACTGGCCAGAGCTGCATGGAGGCGGATGTGACGTACAGAGGGCAGGG